CGGGTAAGATTAGCTCTCAGTGGTAGGTGTTATATAACAATTACTATGGTTGTTGAAATACTGAATATAAATGGGGTTTGCTTGCAAAATCCGCGCAGGCAAAGCCGCGAGTAACAGCTAGTTTATTATAAAGTAGAGATTAAAATTCATTTTAAAACATACTTTTATACGGAATATTATCTTTTGTCACTGATTTAATGTATTTAATCGAAATATACGCAGAAATAATCGTGTTGCAGAGTGAGAAATAAGTAAACGGTGTGCATGCTCGCCTGCGCGGCAACAATTCGAGCAGCTTAGAGAGAACATCCGGTGTAAACGTGGTTTATCGACAGCCCCTTATGAAAGATACCAGTACCTATTATTGATATAGTTATTTAGTATCCGTGAAAGTTTTCAAGATGCAGCGTGTGAATGTAGGCAGATAGATATACAGACCAACTGACTATACAGTTTTAAATCTAGTTTGGTGTAGTTTGCTAGAAGTCTGACAGCCTCAAACTCCTCTCTAGTATTAGTTTTCAAATAGTTTTAAACTTTATTAATTAAAATAATATTAAATAATTATTAATTAAAACATCTTTATTTTTAGAAATGTCAATTATAAATAGTTGTTCATTTATTATCTTAAAAAATTTATAAATTCTCGATAAATTATTATTCTAAATTCTATTTTTCGTTTTACAATTACAATAAATAAGCAAATGTACTAATTAATTATTAATTAATTATAAGCACGTAATTAACTCTTTTAATAATTACTTAATTATAAATATATAATTATACTTTGAGAAATTCGAATAATTTTAAATATAATTTCATCCTTCTGTGCTCTGTTTTAAGATTTCTCTCACACTAGAAAACAGTGTTAAGGTTTTCAAGGTCGTGCGGCCGGGGGTTTGAAGGTCGTTTTGGCAAAAAATGAAATGAAATTACTATATTATATTTATTTTGTACTCGTTTACCCATTCCTATATTACGTTACTCTATATTTTGAAACTTAATGAACTACGTTACGAAAGTCTCTACCCTTTTAAAAATTCCACGCACGGGCCTCGAAGTTTTTAAGAAATTATACAGGACGGACCAATCTTTTTTCGGAATTTCGTATCATCGTTCGAACTACATTCTACAATCGCGTATCTAAAAATCTAGCATTCTCGAGCCTTAAAAGAGATAAAAGCTGTTATTTATTGAATGCTACGCTTCCCTCCATCCATCCATTTTGCCCGTCTGTCTGTCCATTCGTTCGTTATCTATTTTCTAGTAACGTGACTGACGAATACGGCGGCGAAAATTAATTACTAAGCCGCCAAATTTCCTATTTGTTAAATATTCTTCAACATACAGTCATTTTCCCTATACTTCTGCACTTAAAAAATGTCTATCTCTGGCATTAAGAGAGATAAAGTTTCGTGTATTTACTGTCCTTCCCTCTCTCCATCCATCTGCTCGTCCGCTCGCTGTCCTTTCTTTATCTATCCTCAATTAGTTGACTCGTTTACAGCGAAAAGTAACCCCCCCATTAACTACCAAACTCGCAATTAATTAAAATTATAATTTGTTCATCGGAAAATACATTCTTTATAAGGAATTAACTTGAAATTACTTATCTGTAGGAGAGACCCTGAACCTTAACCGCTATTTGATATTACGTCAGGCGATAGCCCTATTTTATGTAATGTAGGCCGCGTGATTCATCACCAGATTCGAAAACAATCGAGTCAAGTTCAGATATAGTTTAAAGAAAACAAAGATAATTTCGACTTACCGATATTACTGACTGCTTCGGGTAGAGCTAAAACACCACTTCCAGCCATTTCGCCGGCGACGAATATGGTGGCCTTCCAAAAACTCAAACCTTTCTTCTTCTTTTCTCCGTCTTGCACGTCCACCGGCGTAGATTGCTGCCATAAAGGTACAGTTTCGTAATCAAATTCCGACTTTTTTAAGAAATTCGGCATGGATAACGGCCACCGAAGACCCCAGAAATTCTCTCGTTTATTCGTACTCGTCATCGACCCGTCATTCGCGAGCACGAGCCGATATTCAGCGTTTTCCTCTCCCCTTTTTTTAATTGTTTTGAAGTTCAGACTATCAATTTCTATTAACTACGTCATGTTTATAACCCAATTTTCCAGTCCGAGTCGTGTGCGTGTGTAACGAGAAACCAATGGCATGTGACTTGTCCGACAACTCCAGACTACTTTTATATCCTTCTTACGTCACACGGTTTAGAGGTACGCTTGTTTTTTTCGTGCGACTTTTCTGAGCCGCGTGATTTATCGAACTTCTCTAAACACCGAAGGAAAAAAATTTGTTTTCGAATGAAATCTTTGGAAACTTTCCTTTTTTATCGTTCTCGTGTGACGCCATAGGGTCGAAAACCAGATGCCAATTGATAATTGTATATAATAATAGATGACAATCGTACCACGTTTTATCGCAATTTACTGATATTTCATATATATTTTTATTTCCTTTTTATAATTTTCTTCTTTTAGAATTTATCTATAAGTCTATATATATATTTATTTATATTATTTTATTTTTTTAATTAATTCTTCGTATAATGAGCAAAC